ATTGTAATGTTTACTGATAAACTGACAAATTTCATTAACATTCCCTTACTAATTTAAAAGTTTCAGCCTGGGTTGAAAGAGATAAACATATATTAAAGTTAAACTTCAATGTCTTTAATTATTAAAATAGTAAACTAAATAACTATAACTTGGGTGGATACTTGCAAAGAATGAAATTAAAATAAAAATAATCACTGAAATATTGATAGGCCAAGCAGGTTGTTTCAGAATAGGTCTAATCTGCTCATCACTGTAACACTGTACATCATTAAGCAAAGGCTTTTTGGTGTGCCTAACCTAACTTCATTACTGTTTGTACTGAGAAATGGGGTTATATTAATTTACTTTCACAGCTATGAGTTCATGCTAATGATCACATGATATCAACAAACAATTGATAGTATTGCCTGAACTAACTGCCTTTGGTTCCGTCTGAGTCTAAACATGTGCAATGATTGGCTGAATTGAGAGAAAGAAGAAAAACAAAATGGCACAAAATTAGTAATGTGTTGTGCAACTGCAGTGCTTCATTCATGAAAAAACATGATGTGCTGAATCTGCCATTCAAATTCTAGAAACAAAGTTCAATTTCAGACTCAAAGAATGTGAAAATAGTTCTGGACTTCCAAGAGTCCAGAATTGTTCTAGATTTGAGTTCTATTTGGCACATCCTTACATGAGAATAAAATGTGAGAAAATACTGGGCGCCAGGATGAAATTTTTTGTTGCCATGGCAACTTGGCACCCAAGATTTGTTGGGGCCTGATTTAAGGTCGTTTTTCCTGCTTCTCATCTTTTTTTGAAAGTGAAAGTCTTTAAACAACTTCTGTCTTCAGTATCATGTTTAGCATTATGAAATATAATGAATATTAAGCATAAATAGTGCTTGCTATGATTCTGACTGTTTTGTCAATAAATCTGCTTGTGCTAAGTGTCTGGGCATATATTTTGTTATAATTTTGAAGTGTTTAACCCTTTAAGAGTGACATTGGTCCATTGAACCAGACCCCATGTCTGTGAAGTTATACGTACTGTAACTCTGAATTTACTAGGTGTATCTTCATGGAATATGGTGATGCTGTTACTTTTAATAAATATTAAAAACCTGCTGTACATAAAAATCAGATTTTTTTAATAGTATTTTTGCTGAAACTTTTTCTGTGCATTTATGGAGTCAGTTTGACTCAGATTCTGACTAGTCTGAGTGCAAGGTGATTTTCATTGCTAAAAATGAAAATACTTCTTTTCATCTTATTGTTTTCGTATTTAATATGCAGAACTTCATAAATGAATATCAAGAATATTTTTAAGGTGAAAGATTTATCTGTTACTTTCTGTACCTAACACTAGCTGCAGCTAAATTATCAATACAGTGAAATTGAAATGAAATTGTGAAAGATAGGAAGTAAAATGAACTTACCCTTTTTTCTTCTTCTTTACACAGTTGGAACTTGATTTGTTTACAGTTTTTACTGTTTATCTTTTCACATATAGTTTATAATTAATTTTATAGTTTTATTGCTTGGCACATATGGCATATAGTTCACATATGCATGAATTGCAAGGGAATCACATTACTGCACAGATGTACTACACTCATGAAGTTCTTTACTTGTTGCTAAACAAGCTAAGCTTTATTAGAATTTTTTTCTAACTTCTTGCAAGAAAAGAAAATATTTCAATTTTCAGATATGCATTTTAAAACATAAATAATGCATAATTTAACAAAAAATAGAATGTCCAAAATCAACTATATTTTAAACCATCCTTCTAAGGTATAATTAGGTTATTAAAAATGTTAAATGCTGTGAATGCAAACATCTCCTACCACTTAGTTACAAAATTAAGACATCTTATGACATATAATTGTTACCAAGTTTAAAAGAGTTATTACAAATATATCAAGTAATGTGATGTGTTTCAGAATTATACAGGAGGAATTTACACATTTTGATAATAAAGTTAAAAAAACTACTTTTACATTCCAGATAATTACAAGAGAACTTTTATTTTAACTCGTGTTTCACCTTTCGAGCTTCTTCAGGGCTAGTGCATAAAATTGTTTGATATTACTGCTTGTGGTGTTCAGTTTCTCAGGTCTGCTGTAAAATGTCTTTTGTCAATATGTAGAATATTATTATTGTCCTAATATTATAGTTATGATATTAACTATATAGCTGCACTAACATTTTGACAAAAATTAAGATAATTACAAAATGTTTTATATTAATACAAAACAAATAGCTGGAAAATAAAAGTTGCTAGGAAACAAAATTTAAAGTTAAAAGAACACAAAGTTTATGAGTTGTGTTAAAAAAGAAACATCAGTTAAAATAAACGTTTTCTTATAATTATTTGGAGTTTAAAGTTCGTTTTTTCTAACTTTATTATCATAATGTGATCTTGTTTTGAAAACTGCCTTGAAAATTGAGAACAAATGGGCAAGACTTCTTTCATGAGTTAGGAAATATCAATATCTCATAATGGCTGGAGACGGCTTGAATGGGTCACGATGATGACAAAACCTTGTCGAAACGTTGTACATTTGCTGTTATGTTAAACTTATATTAAAGTTTTTCTTCATTACCCATTCAAGCCGTCTCCAGCCATTATTAGTCTCAAAGTGGGTTCCTAATCATCGAATTTTCAATATCTCAGTAAATGGAGATGTTGGAATGCTGA